TGGAGTCACTGCGGTATCACAGAAGCACCAGAAGCACAACAAAAAGAATGTACCCACATAGAGAATTAAACATGGCCTTGCAGGAGAGAGATCTCTGAGTCCCAGCGATTAAAAAAAAAAAAAAAAAAAGCTGTTGATTTTAACTAACGCTTACAGCAGGTTTGAAATTTATTTGGCACCCAGCAGAAGGCCGTGTGTGGGAAATGCATTAGGCAACATTGATTACGGGGACGATGAAAGGGAATCTCATGAAACATTGAGGGCACGTGCATGCACCTGAGAATGTGTGCATGTGTGAAATAACACTGACAAAAGCCAGCCTCTCTTCTATCATATGCTTAGAGTTTTACGCTAAATCAGGTCTACTGATCGATACACGCATGCACAGATTGCCATTGAGATGCTAAAATGAATTAATGAGTAATTACAGTCTTTTTCCTATTGTGCATCGGAAAGTAGGTGGTGTTTCTATACATGAGGTTTAAGGTTAAATAATAATCTATATAACTACTATATACCACATATACCTGCTACTTTAAAAATCAAATGAATATCAAATAAAATATCAGTTCAGCTAAAAAAAAAGTAAAACATAAAATTACATCAAATTATAATTTAAAACTTTATATACACTGTCAAAAATAATTATGTTGTAAATAAGTTCCAAAATATAAAGTACACACATAAATAAAATAATATAGCTGCAAGCAGCAATCACGGGGCCAAGCACTCCAGAGGCAAATTGAGGAGCTAAGCATGGCATGGAGCATCAGACCAAATGCAACAATGAGTAATAAAAGCAATTTTAGGATGATTGTAATTGAAATGGCTGAAAAATCATAAATACAACCACTAGTAATATGATTAAATGGCTTATCAGTTTTGACCAACAGGTGGCGCTGCAATCAAATCGTTTTGGTGTGTTCTGTGTGAGGTGACAATGGCACATACAAGGTTTGTTGTCATTATGTCAAAGCTTTGAAGAGATATAGCCTCAGAGTCATTTTGGCACCATACCTAAAATTTGTAGCAGCGCTGTACCAAAACGGTTTCGTCTATCGACACGAAATCCATAACTTTCTGTCAGCACAGTCTGAAGATCATCTGACTCGATTTTGGTGAAAATCGGACCAACGAGTGGCGAGGAGTTTGAAAAAGTAGGTTTACAGCATAAATCAAAATGGCCGACAAGCAGTTCAGATTTGCTACCGGAAAATTGGTATGTCTGTTGTCGGCATAAGCCAAGGAATATTTTGAGAGCAGTTTCATTGCAATAGGCTAATGCAATAAAAAGTTATTAGCATTTTTGTAAATGTAATCATTAATGGTTAATGAATGGTTTATTACTCTTGACCAATAGGTGGCGCTGTTACCAAATTGATGTGGCGTGGTCAGTGTGAGGTGACAATGGCACAAACAAAGTTTGGTGTCAATATGTCAAATATGTGCAGAGATACAGCCTCAGATGCAGTTTGGCACTATGCCTAAAATTTGTAGTGGCGCTGTACAAAAACGGTTTAGTTTATCGACACGAAATCCATAACTCTTTGTCAGCACAGTCTGAAGATCATCTGACTCGATTTTGGTGAAAATCGGACCAACGAGTGGCGAGGAGTTCGAAAAAGTAGGTTTACAGCATAAATCAAAATGGCCGACAAGCAGTTCAGATGTGCCCATGAATCAAAATGGCGGACAGGAAGTTCAGCCAATTATGGCAAAATTGGTATCGCTGTTCTCAGCATGATGCAAGGAATCTATCAACATCAGAGAAAAAGTAGGTTTTACGAACAATTAAAAATAGCGAAAAAACTACACCTTGCGATTTTTGAATTGTGGTGTTCATGGTGACTCGGCATGAGCCAAGGATTCAGAGGAAAAAAGAATTTTCATTTTGTGCCTTATGGTTCAAAAGTTATTAGCATAAAGAAATTGAAACTTCGGACAAGTGGTGGCGCTAGAGAGTTGGAGTTAGAGACTCCAAACTTGCTGTGGTTAATGTTGAGACTGTCCTCTATCAGTGTGCCAAATTTCACAACTTTCCCGCAAGCGGTTCTATGGGCTGCCATAGACTTGCGGCGGAAGAAGAAAAATGACGCTAACGGATACAATAGGTGCCACTGCACCTTCGGTGCTTGGCCCCTAATAAAATATTACTATTGTAAAAATAACAAATTAAAAGAGCTGTATGATATTTTCCATGTTCAGTCAAAATGCATTGTTTATGCTTTCTGCTCAAAACCAGCTGATTATTTTATATAAAGAAGGTTAGAAAAGAGGCCAATACACACAGATTACAACACCTTCAGCATGCCTGAAGGAGAATTCGAATAGGGGAGAAAAGACATGGACCTGGTGAGAATGAGAAAAAATTACCGGAGTGAGAGAGATACAATCTAATCAGAGACTCCAACAGGATATTCTGAAGGAAGGAAGGGCAAAAGTGAGAAAAGTGCACTCCTGGCTGAAGTTCAGCCGCCCCAGTTTCCATATGTTAAACCTGGCCGCTCACCCCCCATTAAAATCTCTCCCTGGATCCCCTCTGCAGGCTTAAAGAAGCTGTGTATGACAGCCAATTACCTTATAGAAACCTCCACACAGACCCAGGGCTCCATCTGTCCACCTAACACCCAGTGAAAAAGAGAAAATTCAGCCACTGCCTGCTCTTATGGACATAAATGGACTTCCCTTCCGCTCTCGTTCACTTGCTCCAAGACTCACTCACTCACCCAGCTCTCGTTTTCTCTTTTCAATAATGACCATTCAGTTTCTCAACCCTTTAATTTCAGCCTAAATAAAAAAAATGAAAAAGACACAAAATATCAGTACACTTTACCCCAGTGAGGACAAGGAAATTGCAGAAAGCACAGCTGTAACATGAAAATCACCCTTAAAGTAAACAGTTTATGGCATGAGTTCAAGAGCAAACATCTCAGGGTTAAATTAAAGAGATGGAAGTGAGTTTCAAAGTGTGGCCATTTCACATGTGCTTCATACAGAGGAATACAAATTAAGCATGAAGGGCAAGACAGTTGAAAAGGGTAGATCTTGAGGCAAGACACTACAGGTAAAACCATTATTATTGTTTTTTTTTTTCTCATGCACTAGTCAATTTTGAGATTTTGGGCTATTTTGCTTCTAAAACATGTATTCTTTCAGACTACTGGAAAGAAATCATCCAAATTACAAAATATATTTAAGTATTTATTACACTTTTTTTATTATTTTTTTATTTTTAAAGTATTTATTAGACTTTCTGTAGTCCAGGGATCTCCAACCCTGCTCCTGGAGAGCTACCATCCTGTAGACTTCAGTTCCAACCCTCCTCCTTCAGTTCCAACCCTCCTCCAAAACACCTGTCTGTAATTATGAAGTAGACCTGAACCAAAGCCACTGGACGGCTAGCCTGCAACCTTTAGCCAAAAAAAGCATAGCGGCTAATGCTAACGCTGCGTCTTTGGCAGTACACAGGGAAGGATACCAGAGGCGTTTTTTTTTTTTTGAATGGATGTCAATGGTGGAGAGGCTTCACTACGCTGAACAAACAGCTTTTGTGAGAAAATATCTTATCATTTAATGAATCGACAGCCTGTTCGCTAATCTTCAACAAGTTTTACACTAAAAATACTTTCATTTGGAACTATATGCAGATAGTGTCGCAACAGTTAGGACTCATTTACAGCAATATTACCTGCAAATATGTGTTGCATTACTATTTAATAATTGATGTTATGTAATATTGTTTGTCTAAAAATATCAATATCTTAGGTTTTCCAGTTTTACCTTAAATAGGCTTTATTATAACGACTATTATGCGACCACATGTTGATATAATGCTTTTTAATGAATAAAGTGCATTAATTATTTCAATTATGGTATTACATTTTTGTATTGTGTTATGTTATTTAATGAAAATAAAATATGTTCTTTCTATGGCTTCCAATTTTCAATAAAAAGACTTGTAATAACTTGTGACTGCTTCATGTGCATACCTGTCAACCCTCCCATTTTCCTGGGATTCTCGCATATTTTACCATTCTCTCCCACTATCATCCCGTTTAAACATTTCCCGTATTTCTCCCGTATTTTTAATCTTTATATAAAAAAAATCCCACTGGGTGTAAATGATGATCATACTCAAAGCCAGAGGGCGCACTCGTGCAAAAAATTCAAAACGGACTCAGAAGTAATAACTTATGACGTGCCAGGAAATCACTATATAGTCAAACACATACAGCGATTGCTGTAGCTAAGCTTAATAAAAAATGTGACGACAATACATGCACGATTGCGACAATATAGGTATATGTGTTTTTTAAGTCATCTCCAGGTAATAAAAGTATTTGGATGATGCAGTGCTAACTGACATAGCATTTATTACAGTAACCAAACAACAAAACCAAATTTCTATTATTTTATATTCAAACCCAAAAGGCCGGAAGTGAAAATGAACTGCAGTTGATCTGAGCTCAGCTGTAGCAGCACTAATGTGATCCGATCAACCTCCGGTGTCCGGCGGAGTCAGGGTGCTTCAGAACCCATAACATGGCACTGCGGCAAACTGTGCTGGACATGTGTACCCCCGCCAACTCTGGCAAATGGGAACTTGTTGGGCACTCAATGTTCCCATCTGCTCCCTCTTCCCATCAACCCCAGATTAACCCTAAGAGCCAAGTCAAGCAGCTTTGCCCCAACAAATGCCACCCAGACCTGCCAGTGACCATCGGTCTTCTGGGACAGAGAGAGCCAAGATCCCGTTCTGCTTTAGCAGAGCGGCTAACAGCTCCTAATCAAGTTGAAGAGACACACAACCTTTCAATAATCCAAATGATACCTCACAAGTTGTGAAGAGGAAAACTTTGGTCCATAGAACAGCTTTCAGATTCTAGTAATGACCAGCCAATAGCTTTTGAGATGCACTTTAGATGTTTATATTGATATAAACTGCATCGTATAATACAAATATTATATGATGCCATGAGGTGGCGTGATGTATTTAGTACCTTGAGTTTGGTCAGGTGCTTGATGGCAGATTTGTCCATTTTTGGAGAGAGGTATAGTTCCCATTTCCCATATTCTTTCTGCGTGAAAGGGTGAGACTGTTTTTCCCAGGAATCTGAAGGTAAACATATTTAATTATTAATAATTGCTTGCCTATTTATGACACACACACACACACACACAAATATATAATATCAATCGTATGACTATCCACATTGCACCTGTGTCACTATAGCAGCAATCTACAGGCATGTTTTCACAGGGCTCTTTTTGAGTGGCTTCTTTTGTGGCATCCTTCCATACAGGTATTATGAAGAGCTCTTGATATGGTTGACTGGTGAACATTTTCTTCTTGAACTCTGTAGCTCCTCAAAGTGATTGTCAGTCTTTCTGTGACTACTCTTACGTGTTCTTTACATTGACAAGTCTTTCTTCTCCATCTGGACAAGTAACACAAACTTGGGCTCTTAAGATATTGTGCTCTTTTTCTTAGTTTATTTATTAGGTCACACTTTATTTTAAGGTCCAATTCTTGACTTGCTTTTAACAAACCATTAACTATGACTTTTGCCTCAATAAACTCCTAATTTGCTGCTTATTAATAGTTAGTAAGGTAATTGTTAAATTTAGGTATTGGGTAGGATTAGGGATGTAGAATATAGTCATGCAGAATATGTGCTTTATAAGTACTAATAAATAGCCAATATGTTAATAAAAGGCATGCTATTATGCAACTAGTTAATAGTGAGAATTGGTCCCTATACTAAAGTGTTAACATGTATTAGTTTACTTCATTTCCAAGACAATTTAGGGAAACTCAAAGCACCTCTTAAAGAGGCCCAAGAACAGGCCTTTTTTTTCAAAATGAGGATTTAAGGAAGTCTTTATAATAAATCGGCCGTAGGTAATCACACAGCGTGCCGTTATACAGCCATATCACACTGCTACTTGTGTGATATTGCGTTTATGCAACAGTTTGATGGCACGAGTGTGTAAATACACAAGAAACAACAACTGAGTGTCTTTAAAAACACTGTTTTGTGCAGAGCTACTTCCTTCCACCACGTATTCAAATTTTAAATTGTCAGTTTAAGAGCTGAGCCCAAGCCTCCCTAATTCAAAAATGTCACTTTAGAACTAGTAACGAAGGAACATTGAGCTGCTTCATTGAAAGCTTATTGTATTACTGTATTAAAAGCTCACTGTATTATGTAGAGCAGAGTATTGTGAGAGAGAGATGGACTTAGCGAGTGTGATTACCTGCATCTGATACAGCATTCATTCTTCAGATCAATATCATATTCACAATAAAACAGTTTCATTATCAGCTGAGGAAAGAGATATCTTTGTCGTACTATCCTTTCATCTGCTAAGGGGGATTTCCAATGACAGCGCTGCTCAGTGCATTTTTTGGCTGCATCTTACAAGCTGTAGCTGAAAGTAAAAATAACTTCCTTGTTTACAACCCTGTCTCAGTCTCTTTCAATATAAAAGTCATTACTGCTGACTCAAAAAAAGTCTCTTGTTGCCATCTAATGGCAGAAGAATGTAACTAAAATCAACATCACAAACACACACACACCCATTTTCCAATACTAAATACTATAATTAAATACTACTATTATTTATATAAAATATTTTTTATTGAATAATAATATTTAATAAACAACAACAGCCATCATAAAAGTTCCTAGGCAATTCGCTCTGACATACAGCATTAAAGTTACATAAAATAGATTTTGCGCTCAGCCAAAACGATTTGCTGTGGAACAAATAATTGATTAATGAGACCAAAGACAGCCCATTAGATTTACCCAAAACAAATTATATCTCATCTTTAACCACTATAGAGACATCAGAGCCAGCAGCAAAATTCCAGTAGAGCTGGCCGAGTTGAGGCTGCTCTCGGTGCGTTCATGAGCACTGAACAGCCGCTGACGCCCTTGAGCGCACATCTCTGGAAGACTAGAAGCAAATTTTTAAATAGAAGTTATCTTTTAGGGCTGCACGATATATCGTTTCAGCATCGATATCGTGATGTGTGCATCTGCGATAGTCACATCGCAGGATGTGCGATGTTTAGTATACTGATCGTTATATTTATACTGATTGTTTTCTTTGCTCACACAGACACGGTGTCTACACCGGACGCGACAGCTGTACAGAGATACCCATTTTAAATACATTTAGTAGCGGACGCTTAGCAAAGGCAGACGCCACGAAAGCAAAAGCTGAAGCTCCGAGCTCTTTGGAAAGAAGGAGAGAGCGGCACGGCTGGTGTTTTCCACACGTTTTTAGGCGCGATATGTGAACGGCCCCAAAGTCTGTCTACACTGGACGC